TCATCACGATCACTATGGCAACTACTTTCCTCCGGCGTGCGTCTGAATTGGGTGACGTCACGGCCGGCTTCCATTCACTTCCGGGTAGTAACGGGCAGAGCACTCACACACCATACACTCATTTGGTAAGTGTTTTATGATACATTGTATATATAAACATTGTTTTGATTTGTATTTGTTGATCTTGAAAAAGACCCGTCAGGGTCGAAACGTCGATTGCTTCATTTGTGCTTTTCACATGGAATAATTAAGACACTTTTGTCACCTTTATTAAGTCCTGTGAGTGCATCCTAATTCTTTATTTTTTATATATGTATGTATATATATATATAGTTTACACTATATCAGTTTTTTCTCTGTAGATCTATAGCTGTATCCTCATTGTTTCATATATTGGTTTCCATGGGTACACATTTCTGGTAGTGAAGTAGTTAATGTATACAAGGCATAATACACCACAAAAAGTGAATAATGTGCATTTTCTATTTTCTTTTTACATTTATTACATAGTTATTAAGTAAAGAGTTTTATTAATGAGTAGCAGAGTGTGCCATCCAATGACTTTCATTTAAATAAAATCTATTTTATCTTGAAATCAAACAAAACATAAACTGAGTGGGCCGATAATCTCCTCAGCCTATTTTCAAAGTACAGTCAACTCCTGTTCAACTTTGGTCTCTTGACATTTGCCAACGATCAAAGCTACCTTAGATGGTCATTGAGGGCAAATGTTACAAAGTACTACAAGTGGAAATCACTTAAGATTAATGAAATAGAAAACCACAGGTGTAAAGCAAAGCACAAAAAGAATCTCCTTAAATAAATCTTGGTAAACAGGCTGTGTTTAAGATTCTGAAGGGGTTTGTTTTTCTTTTAAGTTTAAGGTAATCTAAGGATTGCAAAATGCGTGCAACAATAAGATTTCAAAAGGAACAATTGTAAGTGTGTAAAATTGCAAGGTCTGTTCCACATTGTACGTAATAGTACTCTAAGTCCTTCATATTGAGCGATCTGGAGCATCTTACAAACTATTTAAGGTGGATTAAATTATAATTAGGCAACTAAACACTGAACTGCTATGTTTTTATTAAATATTATTTAATGTAAATTTTCATGAAATACAAATCAGTGTCGGTACCTATAGTAAAGTAATAGAGCATCCAAAACCATGCAAAAAAATAAAAAAAAACATCAATGGCTATATGTTTCTATTGTCTATTCTTGCCAACCAAAATTAATTAGATTTTCCCCCTTCCCTTCTTGTTACCACATATTATAACTGTTAAGTTTCTATTTTATTTCTATATTGTATTGTTCTATAAAAACCTGTTAATAAAAAACATTTGAACACAAAACTGGTTAGACTAATGCAAAAGTCAACTTCCTCGACAGATAATCAGCAGCAGTTTGGTTGTACTATAGAAAACAGGAGTCCCAGATTTTTGTCAAAATGCTCAAACATAATTTGATTCAAACCGAGGAGGTTGCGCCCAAAGAAACTTTGCGCTATAAGCACCATGATGGGAAATGTATTGTAACGGACCGTTTTGCCCACAAGAGGTTAAAAACTGTTTAGGCGATATTCCCCTTTTTCAGATGCACAGACAGCTACTGCAAACCCACGAATTCACCAACTCCTGAACTGCAACCAAGGGAATACCCGAAACTCCCGAACTGCATATCAAGTAGTGCTCCAAACTCCCGAACTAGAGACACACGAATAGCTGTTAGCAGACGAACAGGAAAAGCCCCCAAGCGGCTTACACTCCTGGCAATCAGTCTCTAACAGCATACAGTAAATCCCCCCAAAGATGAGACGACACTTCGGTTTGAGGGTCAAGCAGAATCTGGTTTACTGGGGCTAACTGCCCGGCTTTTATGCAGGTCTCCCACCTGGTGGACACTCCCCTAGGGGACCAGATGGGAAACTGGGAAACATATTGGCTCTTAGCCAATCACATACATACACCTTTAAACACTCCCACAATTACATCACAATCCCTCCTCTCTGTCCTGGAGATAATTGGGAAGTAATCCAATTATCTCCAAAGACAGAGGCAAAACTCCATTAACCACACGGCAGTAACAATACAGTAAAATACATAAAATTACATACAGTCACATTTATTACATAAAACATATACATTCTACATATCCCCAGATAGCTTAGATCTGAGCGCACATTACTACCGAATGGCGCTCAGATCGCATACATACAGTGCAATCGCCATGGAGTCAAAGTCTTTCCCATAGTCTTTCATTATACGAATAGGCTCCATGGCTTAGCTATCTGGGTGATGCTGTTCATCCGGTTAAACTACCGAATGAATGGTCATTCGGTTCTGCTACTGAATGGGAAGGTAAGGAGGCTGGTGGCTCAGCGGTGTTCGCACCAATAAGTGTCCATTTTCAGTTCCATAGTTTGGGCGCTGAACACCGCTGGCCGTTCGGGAGGTAAAATGGCCGCTGCCACGTGTTCAGCAGATGAACAAAGGCCACCCAGCGTTCATCAATTAAGCTGTGGTTAACCGCAGCTTCTGGGCAGTCAATTGACGGCACACTCCAACTCCCAGGTGGTCCATCGTTCGGTAGTTTGTTCGGTAGATGGAATCTAATGAACACCGTGGCAAAAAGGCACGAATACACCTTTCAGCAGGGAAAATAACTGCTCTGAACTGCAGGACCATAGTCTAAAGGGAGCAGGCGAGCAACCAGGCTTCTCCAGTATACAGTGGCGAGGTTGGTTCCGCCACATGTATATATTGTGTGAAAAACTTTAAAAAATCTAAACTTCTGTGAGTCACGTCTTTGGCATATATAGAATAAAAAAAGTATAGAAGAAAAAAGTAGAACAAAGAAGGTCCAGGTACACAAATGCTCAATAAGGCACATTTATTTTGAACACTTTGAATCCAACAATGTTTTTGACCGCAATAGGTCTTTATCAAGCTTGACAAAGACCCATTTGGGTCGAAATGTTGCTGGTTTCAGCTTGTTTCAAATAAGTGTGCCTTATTGAGCATTTGTGTGCCTGGACCTTCTATGTTCTACTTGAATTCTTTGGCATAGACTGTGCGTGCAAGGATTAAGTGAGAGCACAGGAGACCTCCAACAGTTGGTTCTACTGTTCTGCCACAGCAACCACAGTTCACGTACGGTGGTTGCTATGGCAATTCAATAGTCAATGCTGTTACCACTGCAAATAGAGTAACTTACATCATTGGCATGTGGGAAACAAGACCTGCATGTCACCTTTTACAGAAAATGTTTTCCCTACACGGAGAGGTATCCCCAAGCAGGGCAAATCAAAGAAGAGACTAGGATCAAAAATGGGTGATACAGAAGAGTAACACCTATGAAGTTGAGGATATGGTAGGGCTTGAATGACACAAGACAAAAATCAGTTTGAAGTAATTCAGACGTATGTAATTCAGATGTGTATATATATAAAAAAATTACACGACTAGAGGGGCAGGAAAAACCTGACCCCAAAGTCAAGAGTGGACTAAATGGGTAATATGGGCTTTACCCAGAAAAGACAAAAATGAAAAAAGAATAAGAAATCTTTCTTTGTCAAAAGACTATGGATAACGATTCTCAAAAAAAGGTTAGATTACCCACATATAACATGTATAACCCACTATAATTGGTAAGAAACAAAAAATTAAAACATAAACCTTATTGGTATTTAAAGGGCATATCTACATAACAGTGAAAAAGACAAAAAAGACAAAGTGAAAAACACAAAAGTGACTTGTGAAAGTGT